CCTCCCACTGCTGGCTCCAGCCTGATGGAGACCCCAGTGCAAAGCAGGAAGGACACTGTGTGGCTGACCCTTGGCCCCTCGTTCACTGGTCAGCTCACGCCGGTGTGACAATCACCAGCCCACAGGGAGGGACGGCCGAGCAGCTGGGTCAGACTTCAGGCAGGGTGAGGTACAGCGGGCGCCTTTATCCATTCCTTGAATGCTGGCCGTGGCCACAGGCTGGTGGGCTCTAGCAATTCACAGTGAGTGACAGCAGATCTGTCACCCCCTGGGCAGTGGGCACACCAGCTGCGGGAGCACAGACATCACTCACAACACCTCAACCCCGGATCCTCACCTACAGAGAGCTGTGATGGGGGGGACGTCGGAGTCCAGCCCTCTCATGGGAGGGGCCATGGCAGGAAGGCGGGAGGGTGCGGAAAGACCCTCCCTAGGGGCCCTGGGATGATAGCAGCCCACAAGAAGGGGAGTGGCACGGGGTGGGGCAGACCGCTTGCTGCTCCTAGGGGAGTGGAGAAGAAGGAGCACTCACAACCTGGTGCTTCTCCCCTCCACCAGGCAGCGCCTCCACTTCCACCGGCGGCTGTGAGGCAGGGCCTCCTGCTCGGTGCTCCAGACACCGCAGGGGCAGTCAGCCCAGCTCTGGGCTCTCTGGGTCCCCCACGATGTCCCCTTGTCCTGCTCCCCTGCCTCTTTCTACCGTGCTGGGTGGACGGAGAGGGCTGGCAGACCAGGTGCCCGTGGCGGGGAGCTGGAATTGTGGGGCACGAGGCACCCACATACCTGGTCATGCCCGGGGCCCTGGGCTGAGGGCAGCCTATAGTCTGGTGGGTGTGGGGAGCTCGGGCAGCAGGGGCCTGGAAGCGGGGCGTGTCCTGTGTGGCCGTGCCCCTGCACATCCTCACACTGGCCTCACACGCTCCCCATCAATGCCCACAATATCCACTGGGTCCTCCAGCACCCTCCCTGAGCTGGGTACTGGGGACACAGGTTTCAGGGACCCCACAGCCTGGTGAGAAACTCACAAGGGCCTTTCTGGACCCAGGGCAGAGGGCAGGGTTGGCAGGCGTGGGTCACTGTACGCTGTGTCCCTCTGGGCACTGAGTTAGACTGTGCAGAAGGACGGCTTCCCACTTTATGGGAAGCCCCTTTTGATGAGCACTCGTCCCTGCAGAAACAGCCCGAGTGTCCCCTGCAGGGGGGAGTGGCCCACTCCTGCACACGACCTGACTCACCTCTGATGGCCACTGCCTTCACCCACTCACTGGCCCATTGGCCTGTGTCGAGCGCTGTGCAGGGGACATGACTATTCCAATTGCCTGGCTGCCGGCACACTAATGGTGGCTGGTGGACACTTGAGCACCTTGGGTGGCACGTCTACCCTTCAACTCACCTAGGTGAGGGGTCCTTACAACCAGAGAAAACCCTCAGCTCTGAGGCAGAAGAGGCATCGGTCTCAGCCAAAGATGCAGTTCCCAGGACCATCCTGGCCTGAGAGGGATCATTCAGTCTCAAGGAGCCATGTGCACTCAAAGGCCATGGGGGGCTGCTAAGGCAGCAGCAACATGAGCCTCCCTTGCTGCCCGCAGTTGGCCCTCCTCGCCTGCTGGGGTGAGGAAGAGCTCTGGCTTTGTTGAGAACGAGGTTCCATACATCCTTAGGGTCAGAGGGGACCCTCAGCCCAGCTCCAGGGCTGTAGAAGGAGAGGGTGTGGGAGAAGAGCAGAGGCCAGGAAGCCCCGCCCTACAGGGAGGTGGAGGATATCCCTAACGGCGATGCTGCAGCATGAAGCCCTCCTGTTTCTTCATGGAAACGTCAGCACTGTCTCACTGCTCCTCTGCCCGTCTGCGAGGTCCCCTGGAAAGGTACCACTTTGAGGGGTTTCAGATCTCTGAGAGGAGAGTCCACCACACCCCCAATTAAGAGACGGAAACTGTGCGTTTTTTAATAAAAGGATGTACGGTTCAGGGAAATCAGAAACTGACCAAGGCTATGGGCCTGGAGAGGAGGGGGGACCTGGGAACAGTTTTCTTGCCTCTCCCAGCCGCCTAATTGCACCAGGCCCAGGAGGCCAGCAGAATGCAGCACCTTGGACAGCAGCAAGGATCCCCTACAGATACATCCACAAGTCTCCTGTGATGCCTCACATTCATGTCCAGTCTCTCCTGGAATCTTTCCAGTTGGAGATGGGGCCAGAGAAGGGAAGTGTCATACCTCTGGTCACACAGCATGTCAGTGGCTTGATGGAACTTGGCTCCAGACTCCCAATTCTGCAACTCTGGAGCATTCCTGAGGCTGTCTCATAGCTAGCTGTTGAGGGGGCACCCCAGACACTGGGCTGGTGCTGGGGCAGAGATTCATGTTAAAGCAAGAGGCCGGGAGAAAGCCAGACTCTCTGGGAAGCCAGGGCAAGTGCAACCGCATGATTTTTTGACTATCACTTCTTGGCCTGGGGGAAAATGAAGGGCAGAGGGCTATTATTGAGACCTGCGAAATCCGCTCCTTGTCCCTCTGAGCAAGACCAGGCCTCCTGATAGCCTGTTCTGGCCCTTCCGCAATATTCTCCCACCTTACAGGAATGTACAGAAGAGGTAAGTGGGGTCAGGGCTCAGAATGTGACCAGGGTCAGGGTTCCATGTGTGACCAAGATCAGGGCTCAGCATGTGACCAGGGTCAGGGCTCAGAGTGTGACCAGGATCAGGGCTCAGTGTGTGACCAGGGTCGGGGCTCAGAGTGTGACCAGGGTCGGGGTCAGCGTGTGACCAGGGTCAGGCTCAGCGTGTGACCAGGGTCAGGGCACAGTCTATCTCCTCCCCCACTTTCTCCTTTCTTCCTTTCTGGGCAGACTGTACCCTTAGTTCAATCAAATTGTTCGATTAGTCCTATAAAGTGAGCATTTCCTGTGCTATGCACCGTGTGGCGTGTCCCATGTGGACCATCTCACTCACTCCTCCTAAGGACCTAGCATGAAGGCGACAGTCTGGTTCCCAATTTGAAAGTAGGAGACTGAGGACCAGGGCAGTTACAGAATTTGCCTGATGCATCGCTGGCAAATGTCTGTACCTGGATTAGAAATGGGGGGCTTCTCAGACTCCTCTGATCTCACTACCACTCCCCACCTCCTGCTAAAGGACAGAGTGCCATGCCCCTGTACTCCCTGGGGCGCCCTGCCCACCTGCCCACCAGGAGGGAGGCACTCTCTGTTCCAGGTGGTCTGGCAGTAGCGGTGTTTTCTTCGCAAGATGTGGGCTGGAAGCAAGTCCCTGTCGCAGAGGTGCACTCCTAACACCCCAGCGCCTGGGCGGGGGATACACGGCTGTGGTCAGAGGCCAAGCCTGGTTCCTGCCTGCCCTCCCACACCACAGCCGCCCTGGAGTGGGTGTGGCGTGGGGCTGAGAGCACCTCCCCAGCTAGCTCTCTGGGAAGCACCAGCTTACAGGTGCCCCTCCCTCTGCAGGCACAGGGAGCCCTGTGAGGGTCACAGCCTGCACGAGCACACACGGACTCAAACAAGGAAGCTGCTCAGACGCAGGGCCTGCGGCTGCTTTCTGCAGAGAACCCAGAAACCCCCAGGGCAGGAAATCTGAGCATCCAGAGGTCCAGGTACCCGGCAATCCCCTGCCCCTCGGCCCCCTCGCAGCATCTCTGGGGAAGCCCACCAGCCCAAGGGAGGGCAACTCTGCAGAAGCAGCAGCAGGCCCCACAGCATCTCTGAGTGAGTTCGGGAGAGGCAGCAGGCACAGGCAGGTCGGGGCTGGAAGCAGAGCTGGGGGACCAGGGCCACAGTCCTGCTCCCAGCTCTGGCTGCATTTGCCATGGGACCTCGAGCAAGTCCTGCCCTCTCTGTGCCCTGGCTTCCCCCACTGGGCAGCAGTGGGCCCCTCCAGCAGGGTCAGCCCTCAGTTCTCAGGATGGCAGCCAGGTCCTGGGAGACCATGAGGACCCAGAGCAAGGATGCCCACTGGCTCATCCGGCCAAGCCAGCAGGAGCAGAGGCCACAGCCAGAGCAGGGAGCAGGAGGTGGTCCTCATCAACCGCACAGGGCAGGCAGGCAGGTGGGGTCTCCATCCAGAGCCCAGGTCTGGCCTGGACCACCCAGCTATTCTTTAGAGGACCCCTCCAGCTGTGACTGGGGTAGGCCAGTTGCAGCCCTCACTCACTCCTAACTCTCCATCCAAATGTGTGTCACCACCTGAGCTGCGGTCAGAGCAGTAAATTCCTCTGGGATCTTCACCCTGCTCCCCAAGTGCCCGTGGCTGCCCAGGCCCCTGGCCTTGACATCCAGGCCCTCCCCTCCCTGGGCCCAGCACACACCCTCTCCATCACCCAGCAGCCATCCACCACAGGGTGCAGAGAAGCGGGACCCCGCTCGTCATCCATCAACCGTGCTGGTGCTTTCTCGGGAGAACAGATGGGTCCCAGCCCCGGCTCTCTCTGGACATCTGTATCTTTTTAGGGAAGAGTGCTTCTGGTGGTCTGCAGGTGACACTGCAGTGGGGCTGGGGCACATGTTCAGGTTTTACTGTATAATCTTCTCTCAGGCTGTTTTTAAAGTGAAGCCCTATCCCCTCAGCCCACAGTCAGCCATGTCGGTGTGTGGCCTGGTGGGCAGCGATGGAGCGGGCAGGCGTCCTGGGCGCAGTGGCCTGCCTGGCTGACCCTGCTCTCCATGGCCATCCCTCTGGCCTCCTGCTCTCCCCATAACTTCAGTTACACCAGAGCCTCTGCCCTGTGGACAGTTCCCAGGGGAGTGACATTTAAGAACTGTACCTCAGAAAGAGATGAAAAAGAGTAGCCCAAATTCAGAATCCCGGGAAACTCCCCCTTGAGTCCAGTGGGAGGAGAGAGCAGGAGGTGGGGTCGGCCCAACAGCTCTCAGGGCGCCCCCGCCCCAGCCCTGCAGAGAGCTCAGGGATCCAGGCCCAGCGCCAGGGAGGCTGGGGCACCCGCCCGTTCCCCCGCGCCCAGGGACTCACTTATGGTGACGATCGCCGCGTTCGAGACACAGACCCGGTCCGTGGAGTAGCACGCGGCAGGCTTGCACAACGCCTGGCTGGAGACTTTGAAGCACTGGTAGCAGCTCAGGTTCACACCTGTGGGACAGCCACGGGCCTCGGTGGAGCCGGGCTGCGCACCCGGCCGGAGCGCACGGTGCGCCCCACAAGGCGCGCTTGAGAAACCCCGCGCACAGAACCCCGAGATGAGATGCGCCCCAAGCGCCGGGACCGGAGCCTCCTGCAGTCCCCGATGGCCTCTGCCCGCCCCCCTCACCTGGCTCTGTCGCGCCTCCACAAAACTCCACCGACACCAGCAAAGCCCACAGGCCTAGAACTAGCTGCTCCATGACGCCGGAGGGCTCCGCCTGAGGGGGCTGGGGCCGCGCAGAGTAGGAGGCTTCCCCCCGGAGCGTCCCCCAACTCCCCCAGCCGCATCTCCCCTCCCCTCGGTCCCGCCTCTCTGGACCCTCATCATTCCATGCCCTTCAGATCCTGGTTCCCAGGGGACCCTCCTCCCAGCTCCTCCCGTCTACCTGGATGCAGGAGCTGGACACTTTGAGGAGAGTCAGCCCAGGGACGGGGCGGGCGTGGGGGCCTGTCAGCCCCTCCTAAGCAGCTCCTGCTCTGGGGAGGGTCTCCTGGGGTCCCTGAGGACGGCAGCCTCAGCCTCCAGCCACCTCCTCCTGGAGCAGAAGCAGGGCAGGGACTCACCTCCCCTGCGGGTCCACCCCCTGGGCAGCCTCAGCCCCAGGTCAGCTCTGACGCTCCTCCTCATCTTGTAAACAGA